AAAATAAGATATTATACATTTGAAATTAAAAATAATACATATTCTAAATAATATGTATAATGATAAAATATTAAATAATTTATTTTATATTACATTATACGTATTATTAAAACATAACTTATAAATTATTGTTGTTTTTTCAATACTTTGAAACTAATAAGTTAGTATGTCTTGAATTGGATATGATGTTTGATAATATATATCTACTATCTATTTGTGTATATCAATGTTATTTATGTTTATTCATATATATTAATGTTATTCATGTATATCATTGCTATTCATGTTTATTCATATATATCAGTATTGTCAGTGTTATTCGTATTATTCATATAATGTCACGTATAATACGTATAATAAGTATATTGTATTTGTGTTTAAGATTTAAATATGTTTTATAATTTGTATCATATTCGTATTTTAATAATTCGTATTATTATACTTGTCAAATATGATATAAAATACAATACGAAAACATGGATTATTAAATCTAAATGAAAGGGCACTCCATGTTTATAGAAAAAAAAAATGTGCATGAAATTTATCACGTGGTACTTTTATTCCTCAATATTACTTTAAATGTTAGATTAAGAAAAAAACCACTTTCAGGCCAAATGCAGAAGGTCTTCACATCAGTTATGTGGAGATCGAAGGTGATCGATAATCATGCCTGCTGGATGAGAAATAGACCCCAAAAGTTTTGTCACTGTCTGTAAAGCTAACCCTTCGACGACTGTGATGTTTAGGTTCCAGTTCGAAAGTTCTTTCATGGGCTCAATGCATAATTTTATAACATTAGTTTTATAACATGTTTGCACGGATTGGGTAGTCTCTGCCTGTTTTGTTTCTATTGTCCTTTTCTAGTTTTGATAAAATAATAAAATAAAATAATTCAAATGGGTGGGAGAGTGTGGCACTAACAATGATGATATTATAAAAAATGAAATGACATAAATATAAAAGCGATAAGGTTTAGAATTTTAATAAAAATGTATATAAATTTAATAAAAATAGAATATATATTTTATATTATACAAATTATAACACGTAATTTTCATACTTTGCACGAATTTAACAGAAAATAGATACACGAATTATTTATTCTTGTCAATGATTTTCCATTACTTACAACAAAATCTGACAAACGGCATAGAGTTAAAAAAAAAAATCAAAGAAGCCAGATAGATTCTGATGCAAATTTCATTCCCTCTCTGTCAAAAAGGGCAGAGAGTTAAATAAAAATCAAAGACACCAGATAGATTCTGATGCAAATATATTGCTCTTTTTTTCTTTCTTTCTTTCTTTTTGTTGGCATATGTAATTATTGTTAGCTCAATAATAAAGAAGCTTTGTATTAGGACAGGGCTGAAAAGAGTGCGCTTTTAGAGCTGCTAATGGTTACCTACTAGGCTTCTTTGCTTCAGTTTTATGCGCAACTGCTTTAGGAATTAGAACCACATAGCTAGATAATAGACATCAAGGGAAAAGGTTATGCTTTTTTCTTTAATAACCAGGTGTTATACTTTACAGGAAGAGGATCTATCTATGTTGACCTATCGTCGGCAAAATGACCTTAAGTCGACTGGATCAGGATGCTGTAACTTTAATTATGAATATATCGATATGTAGATTTGATAATTTGTGTTTTTTTTTATATAAAAAATCAAAATTATCGTATTATAGTTTGTATTAATATATTAATCATGAAACAATTTTTTTTCAAATTAATATATGATATTTATTAAAATTTTAAATTATATTATTTTCATATTTTAATTTTTATTATTTCTGTGTCGTATTTAAATTATTAAAGCTATCGAGAAGGATACTGAGCCATATTGAATAGGTTAATAACCAATTTCTCTCTGTCCATCCTTTCCTCCCCTCCCCCTCTTTCCTTTAATTTGGTATATATAAACAAATAGCAATGTTATAGAAGGTCTTTGGTTTTTCTAATCTTAAATGTTTTTTTGCTTGTATATTTAGGATCATCGAACATAAACTGTGGCCTTGCAATTTTTTCAGACATGACAAAAAATCTGATGGCGAATAATTCTATTAGTAATTTTCTTGTTCTTTCTTTTTCAAAAAATAATTCGTCAGTTGAGTGGATACGTTTCAGACTTTTGAGTGCAATAAACAATAAAAAGAATGACAAATATAAAAGTCACATGCGGTCTGCTTCTCTATTATCTACTTTCGGTCACATAGCATGGAAAATGATAGGGTAAAGCCTGCCTGCTTGAAGGTCTGCTTGACAATCACCATAATATTTGTTTGCAATTCATATAGAAAATGGAAAATTATGGAAACCTGACAGATTTCACGAAAAGTCTTCCTTGAAGCATCCACAGTCATTTACTTTGTTCACAAGCTGACTGGCTTCTGTTTGGAAAGTCAGAAAGAGATAACTAACCACAAAGTAAGCCAGAATCAGTTATCCATGACAATGTAAAAATTATGTTTACGTTTTTTGTTATATTTTATTTTCGGAAATGTAGACAAAGGTACAATAATATGTACACAATATTTTCCTGAAAATTAAGTATTACCTGTCTGATCTGGTTCATCATCAGCTCAGCTGTTCTTCCCGGGTCAGTTTTGGCTTCCATATAAATGTTTAGCTGATCTATCCATCGCACATGGCCACAAAGTACTGAAATAATGCTTTATTTAACCAAATTAGTCTACACCAAGGTGCTTTTGGTTCTTTTACATCTGAGTATACCCCAAGTGTCAGAGGACGTAAAATTTCCAATGTAATCAGAGCAGCAGTCCAAATCACATGATGACAAATATTCTCCTTGATCAAAGGGCAGACTTTGCTCTTGTGACAAATATTGTACCTGTGAAACCAAACAGATGCAAAATTGAAAAGAAGGCAGCATTCACTAAAGTGTATAACTTGCTGAAAAAAAACAATCTGTAATCTGTTGTATGCATGACTCAATTTGTGTCATTATTGCTAGCCATTCAAGAATGAATTAAGTTAAAAGTTTAAACTTTACATCCCAATAAGACCTTAAGCCCTATAGACATCTTGAATATTAAATATTGTAATAAATATGAATAGCAGGTAATTTATGGGGTTGGATTTGGGACGCCACAGCTCAAAGAGATAGAATTATAGGGTTGGATCATGTTAGGGTAACATCTGTTCTCTTCATCTTTAGTACACGGCGGATAAGCTGAAATTTCACAACTTGATCCCAATCTCTCATGGGCAGCTGGATCCACTTGCCACTCGTTAGAGCTGAAAATTGGGTTGGATTCGGCCGCAGAGCTACCAAAACTTCCAACATCTATCTAGAACATATGAGCACCACAATTCTTCTCCTTGATATGATCTATATATCTTTCATCTTTTTCATCTGTTACGATTTATAATTCAAGTGAGGCCTCCTCATAGTGTTTGTCTTTTAGACGCATATCATTGCCAAGCCAAATGATCATATGATCACATAGAAAACGTTTTGATATATCGCCATAGAGCTTGAGAGCCCATCTACTTTCAAAATTATGATAGTCACCAAATTTGGGTTTTGATTCAAAGTTGCAGACAACTCGAACATCAACGTTTTAAGATTGTCATCAAAACCAACTACAACACATGGAACAAAACACAAAAATCTATCACTTTGACAATCGGTAGGCAGCTTGAGAGTTATTGACGACCCCGTGCTTTGGCCCTCGAACCATTCTGAAATTTCATTTTCACCAGAAGAAACAACTGTATTAAAAGAATTATCAACTGGTTTAGAAGCATGTCTGATAAACTATCCATTCATTTAACGTGTCATGGCCGGACAGGGCTTTTAGTTAATGAAAACTACCACCAGAATTGAACTTGGAGCTTAACTCTATTATTTGTAACCAACTTTAAGAGAGACGTAGCATTCAGCAAGTCTGAGGGAATACCAATCAGTTATTTCATGTAGAGGTGGCGTTTAGTAAATCTGGAGTTCGAACTTCGAAAACCAGCATCTTTAACCAATGCTGTGACCTCCTATGAAAAAAAAAAAAAGAAAAAAGAAGGCCACAACAGGCTGATGTTAACACAAACCAAACTGAACCAACCTGAATTTCAAATTAAATGTGCAAAGTACATCACGGAAAAACTGTATATTCCTTGAATGAATTCTCCACCAAAACAAATTAAATGTGAAACAGTGTAGAGTAACATGACTGTATTTGAATAACTTGCCAAAGTCATTTTTGGTGGGACTCACTGGTTTTTACTATTTTTAAAATCTATGGTGGGGTAGGAGGCTGTCGGTTCAAACACCTTACAAACATAATTATAGATTCATGAAGGATTCATTCATTTTCCCATCCTAATCAAAACCAAACATTGAAGGTTTGACAAACTTGCCATGCATTATGTAGGTCTGCTGGGTAGCATTTTAGCATAAAGAAAAGGAATTTTGGTCAATTCTCAAATTTGGTCTGCCTGGAATTGATGTCCATACATGTAACTTTATTGCCTGAAAAATTCAAAGGCTGTGGGCTGATAGTAAGCATGTTATTATTCCTCTTGTTGAATGCAATCAACTTGGGTTTTGACTCTTAAAACATATGAATCATGCATGAAAAAAATGTTTTGTGTTTTGGGTTTTCAATAAAAGTAAAAAAGAAAAAAAGAAGCAATCACTGTCACAGTGTCAATAAATATTCGGGAGGATCGTACATGTCCTGGCCTTTTCTTTGCTTGCTTTTGGAAGGAGGAGAAAAGGGAATGGCAAGGCTAGTAAATTTGGAGCAATGTTACAAGTTTTCAATAAAAGCAAAAAAGAAAAAAAGAAGCAATCACTGTCACAGTGTCAATAAATATTTGGGAGGATCGTACATGTCCTGGCATTTTTTGGAAGGAGGAGAAAAGGGAATGGCAAGGCTGGTAAATTTGGAGCAATGTTACAAGTTTTCAATAAAAGCGAAAAAGAAAAAAGAATAAAAGAAGCAATCACTGTCACAGTGTCAATAAATATTTGGGAGGATCGCACATGTCCTGGCCTTTTCTTTGCTTGCTTTTGGAAGGAGGAGAAAAGGGAATGGCAAGGCTGGTAAATTTGGAAGAAAAAAGAATAAAAGAAGCAATCACTGTCACAGTGTCAATAAATATTTGGGAGGATCGTAAATGTCCTGGCCTTTTCTTTGCTTGCTTTTGGAAGGAGGAGAAGGAGGAGAAAAGGGAATGGCAAGGCTGGTAAATTTGGAAGAAAAAAGAAAAAAAGAAGCAATCACTGTCACAGTGTCAATAAATATTTGGGAGGATCGCACATGTCCTGGCCTTTTCTTTGCTTGCTTTTGGAAGGAGGAGAAAAGGGAATGGCAAGGCTGGTAAATTTGGAGCAATGTTACAACCCACCCGTCTTTCTCTTTAACTACATTCATACCCAAAGATAAGGAAGTCATCAGCATAATTAAATTCTATCCACATGAGATTTTGAGAAGAAATTCATTGCTGAAATTCAAATTCCACTAACATAAGTTAGATATAAATAAATATATTAGATAGAAAACTTCCTCTTTTTTTATGCCACTTTTTTTTTTTATGTTTCTTTATTCTCTTTTGCAATGTGTGGCAGATTAAGAATTGCATAATTCAAGTGGTGTAAAAAGCATCCAACCTCTCTGTACGCTATACCTCTTGGCACTTTTGGGGGACTATAAATTCACACCCCACTGCTCGCTTATCTCTCATGCTAAACGTCCTCTTCCCTCCTCTCTCCCTCCCCTTCTTTCAAAAACTTCCAACTCTGTTTTCCTCTGCCTCCTAACCCTTATAGTTGCATGCTTTTCTAATCTTCTTCTTTTCATTTCTGCAAACGGTTTACCATTTTTGTATCATTCCTGTCGTGCGCTTTATGAAGAAGTTATGAAGCAAACCGATTTTGTTCATGATAAGATTATTTCTTCAAATCCTGACATGGGTGGCTGGAGCTTCCTCCAAGCTCTCTCCAATGGCCCCCAATCCACGAAAAAGATAGTGGAGAAAGAAAACACTTATGTTCATCCTCTACTCAATCGTTCTTTGTCCACACTAAGTAAGAGGAGCTTGGAACTATGCACCGAGAATTTAGGTAATGAGACAGGCAGTGACATCCTCGAAGACAACATTTTCTCATTGTCTTCATCAGATTCTGAAGGTGGAAATTCTCCAACAAGGAAGCAAAGCAAATCACGTCAATTATTGGGAGCTGAGAAAGCAATTTCTCGCAATTTTCCACCTCCACTGACAACGATAAGTGGATCGGAATCTCTTCAAATTAGGCCCCACCGTGAAGACGGAAGGTTGGTAATAAAAGCTGTCAAGACTCCGTCAACAAACACTCTCTTTCAAGCTGAACGAAGCAATGGCCGCCTTCGACTGTGCCTGTTGAAAGATTCTACTGAAAGTTTTGACTACGAAGAAGAAGCAGCCGACAAAGAAAGTGAAAGCAGCAGTGAAGACAATAAAAAAGAGGAGTTTGAAAATGATAGCAACTATGAAGCCGAAGAAAAAGAAGAGGAAGAACGGGGTACGTACTTGGAGGAGGAAATAGATGGAAAAAGGGCTGATGTTGGAATGAAAAAGTTCCAAAGGCATGGCAGAGGGAGGTGCATAGAAGGTGAACATGAAAGCAAAGGATTGTTAAATTGGGAGCTTTTCTGGGTGGCTACACCCTAAAGCTTTACTTTGGATCTCTGTGTCTGTAATCAAATTCCTTTTTGTCTGCGTTTTTTTTTTTTTTTAATTGAATTCCTCGGTTTCAACTTTCATGGAATGTTGCTTGTGGTTAGTAGTTATGATCGTTATTTGAAGATGCTCTCTCTCACGCAACACATGCTCCTTAATGTACGATGAAAGGACAAAACTTTAATGAAGTACTTTTTGGTGAAATTTGTGAAGCTTAAAAAAAATTAAATTAATAAAAATATTAATAAAATTTAAATTAATGGATTGATAAAGTTTAATATAAAAATTAATAATATATGAAAAAAGTTAAAATATTATTTATAATTGAAATTTGATATTCAATTATGAAAAAAATTAAGTAAAAATTTTTATTAAAAATATTTAGTTTAAAAAATGTACTAAAATTTATTAAAATATTTTCAAAATTTAAACACTTAATCTATGTAATAAAATATTATAATCTATTGATTTTGATAATCAATTTTAATAAAATTTTTCAAAATCTTAAAAATTTTCATTTAAATATTTTCCATGTTTAAATGGGCGAGCGAAGACACACATCGACACTCGGTGTAAATATCAAATTCTTGGTATTATAATGTAAAGAGAAACACGTTGATCAGTAAGGGGAAAAAAATCTTGAACTAAGATAAGTGTGGGAGAGGACAATTGTTTGTCATGTAGCACTTAAACTTTGTTTACTATTGTTGGTTGGGTTGCCAAACATGTACTTAGGATGACAAATTTCAGCTCAAGTAATTCAACTATTTTTTGAAAGTATAAGAAAGTTCAAGTAGGCAGGAGGAATTTGAATCTCCAACTTTAACTTTCTTCGTATGGGTGACAATTATTAAGTCGAAACTGGATTGTTTCTAATTCAAATAGTACGAGGCTGGTACAACTCTCGGAACGAGTATAATAGGTTGATTTGCACCATGTTTAGTTACAAGGCAAAAAGAATGAAGGAAAGGACTTGAAAAAAAAAAAGGTATTTTTTCTCTGTTTTCTTTGTTTAGTAAGAGAGAAATAGGAGGAATTAATGAATGGAAATTGGTGGATTTGCATAATTTTTTCTTCTAAACTTAATCTTTTTACTTAAATTAATTTTGTTTATAATTTATTTTTAATTTCTTTCTTTCATTTATTTTTAATCTTATGTATAAAATTACTCAAGGAAAAAAAAAAAAAACATTTTTCCTATCTTTCCATTTTTCTTTTCTTATTTTCCCCCTTTTCTTATTTTTCTCTAATCAAACCAAACAACGTAAAATTAGTGTGTATAAGGCCTTGTCTAGGTACTTTTTTGGCTTGCCAAGGAATCTCTCCCTCCCATGTTGGTAATAACCCTGCTTGCATTAGAATAGACACCGCAAATTAAGAGAAAAATATATTAAAATTAAATCTAATTATTTGTATACGTGTATTATGTGTCATGTTAGACACAACACTAAAAACGACAAAATAATTGAAATATAAATATAAAACAAATTATTAAACATATCAAAATTTTAAATACGAACATGATACGTTTATTATATTTATTATACATTATATGAAACAATTAATATATTTAAAAGTAATCTATCTAACATAAAATGATTAATATGACAAACATAATTAATATGACTAAAATAATTATTATCTTATTTAAATAAAAAAAATTTATTAATAATATAATTTTAACATGAATAAATATAAAATTATAACTCGATAATTCACATCCAAATTAATAATTCACAAATATAACAAAACAATAATATGTGTCGTAACGATTTTGAAGCTGCCCAACGAATTTAAAAATAGAAGGAAAAAAATGACAAATGAAAAATGAAGTCACTACTAATCTTTTTTGGCTAGATGCAATTGACTACCTATTAAAATTTATTTTTTTAATAATAATTATAAAATTAATTAAATTTTATTAAAAAGAGAATTTTCAGATTTGCGAAATAGTCTGGATTCAAGAGTTGGTTATGCATGAGAAATGATTAGTAGCTTCACAACATCCATTTAAAACGGTACCAGTTAATTATATATTATCCATTGATTTTGACAAAAACAATTTTACTGTCAGTATTTGAAAATAGTTTCCTTGATTTCTTTCATTTATTGGAATTTGTTTTTTTGTGTTTTTATTAAAATTTTATTATTTATTATTATTATTCCATTTTATTCGAGAAAAATAAATTGGAATAATTTTTTTTGAAATAATTCTTAAAATATTTCAGTACATTGGTAACATTAAAAGAACTCTTTTTCATCTAGAGATTTCTTAGACATCGCTTCTCAAAATACCCTATAATCTCATCCTCGAAAATTCAAATTTACTTTTCATAAAAATATGCATGCAATGCGAATAATAATATGTTATGCACATATTTTATTTTACTTCTTTATAAATTTTATTTATTTTTTATTGAATTATTATTTAAATTTTTAAAGCAAAGAGAAATTTTTATCATATTGAAGATTTTTTATAAATACTTTAATACACTAATAATATTAAAAAAATCTTTTCACCTAAGGATTTTGTAAAGCATCACTACTCGAATACTTTTAGAACCCTATCATCAGATAAAATTTTTTTTCTCATTTTTTTATAAGGTTTTATTTTTAAATTAACAAAATTATCAAAATTTTTAACTATATATTTCATTATTTATTTATTAATGATTATTATAAAACAATAAAAATTTATTCTAGCAAATTTAAACATTTTAATATGCATAAATATTAATAATAAAATTTAAAATAACAAAAATAATATTAAAAATAAAAAATTTTAAAAAAATTTACCTAAACCGAACCAGTCAACGGTTCAATCAATATCGATCTTGACTGGTTCAGTGGTTTCGACCAATTCAACTTGATCAATCTGGGCTAAAAGATGCTGGGTTGTCAGGTCGGGTTAGGGTTGATGCGCTAATCTTGGGTCTTAAAACAACATCGTTTGCTTCTTTCTAAACGGTGTTGTTTTTATTTTTTTCTATAAAACCCAAAAAAAAAAAATTTTGCACATTGTTTCTCTTCTCATTCTCTCTTTACCCCAATTGACCTGTCACTATCTGCCACGTTGGTTGTTGTTGATAGTCATCGACCACCGTGCTGGTTGTCGAAAAATCTTAAAAACTTTAAAAAAATTATCGTCAACCCCCTAAACACAGATCTGGGCCTAGTTTCACCCAAATCTCACCAAAATGCCCTAGATCAAACTTTAAAGGTTCGATCAAACCCTTTTTTTATATTTTTTTATAAAAGCTAAACTATATATTTTTTTATAGAGGGCTTTGGCGCTAGGTTCCTCCTCAAAAAGGGAGAATTATGTTTTTTATTTTTTTGGTTCAGGTTTTTCTTCTTTTCTTTTTTTGGCAATGAGTTTTTCTAAAATTTTTTTTGGCAGAAAAATTTTTTTGGTGGTTTTCTTATGGTTTTATAGTGAGTTATCTAGGGCTTGGGTTTTGATTGGGTCTTTGCTAGGGTTTTAAGACAAGCATAAATGAGAGGCTAAGTTGTGTTTTTTTGGTACTTGATGCGTAATGGGTAACTCAGTCCCCTTTTGATCTCTTTTTGGTTATTGGATTTATAAGGCCGGTTGAGGCAAGTGGTGGCTGGTGAAGGTTCAGAGGGTGCTAATGGGGTTACAGTGGAGTGATTCTACAGAGGAGTGGGTGGCCAATGCTCTGGTGAACATGGGGTGACAGTGGTGCCATGCACGGCACCAATCCCCTTGTTTTTTGCTTTTTTATTTTTTTGTATTTTTTGTTTAATTAATTAATTGTTATTAATATATTATTAATATTTTATTTTAATACTAAATTATAAAATCAAAATAAAAAGCAAAAATAAAATGAGGAACAAAACAAAAATAACGGACTCAAGTCTAGTTTTATAATCGAGGCCGACTTAAAGACCCTGACAAATTTGGTGTCTACAATGTGTACAATCCTAACATATGTTTAAAATTAAAATCTTGAAATGTTGTCAATCAGCAATCACAACAAAGGTCATTGGAAATGCCATAACAGGTCACAAACAATAACTATTTATCCCTTGCAAGGGAAAGATAATGGGTTACAAAAGAAGGAGCCAAACCATCAAAATGTCATACAAGGATGATTCACATCCGTACAATATGCCCCGATAAAATCTACATAAGCATATTTTGGTTTTTACTTAATAACATATAGAATTTATATTTAATAAAATGTCAGTATATAAATTTTATATACTGTCAGTGAAAAGGATGATGTTATCTTATTAATAAAATGAATCAAATGATGCCACATCATTAATAAATAAATTTTTTAAAAAATATTAATTTTTGTATATTTATTTTAAAGGTTGATATTTGTTCATTAATGAGTGGCATCATTTGATTTACTAAAAGTATATAGATTCTATACATTGATAGTATATTAAATATAAACTCTAATATATATGGCCACCTCATGCAAAGAAAAAGACTCTTCAAATGCCAAAAGGTTAATAGCACATGATCTTTAAATTTTGAATTAAAATTTATTTTTATTTTTAAGTTTTAAGAAATTTTAATGAGATTTTTTATTGTCTTAAGTTATTTTATTTTAATCTTTTTGTTTATATAATTATCTAAATTGATGATAAGTGCCAACTAGCACCATGTAGATGGCATCTAGTATCTCACATGGAAATCAAAGGGATCAAAATAAAATTTCACTCAAAAATTTGAGATCACATATGTTATTATGTCACAATTTATTGATTTATATATATATATATATATATATTTTATAAACTGTAAAATTTAAAATAATATTTTTATTGTAATATAATTTATTAATTAAATATTTTTATATTTATTAAACAATAGATTTTTAAAAATTAAAATAAAGTTAAAAAATTTGAAACCCTATGAAAAAATTTCTTATCCTTTGAAAAAATTAATTAAAAATTTCTATATTATTTAAAAATTAAATAAAAAACTCCATAACATTTTAAAATATCAAGTAAAA